GCAATGAATTATTACAACACTGGTTCAACCAGATCAGGTAGAATTTATTAAACAAAGACAGGAGCCCATAGGCTCTGGTATTTCTTTAGATTCTGCAAAGACCTTTGAAAAAAAATAACTGGAAATATATTCTCATTGCACTGACTAATTAAGTTTTTCCTGTTGAATTTCTGTTACGTATTAAAATTCTGTGTTTTGCTGCCCCCCCCCATCTTCCCACTTCAAATTTATTACCAATGGGTTCTTTTTGGCCCTCTTTATATGTGGAAGGTGGATCAGTCAAAGATGCCCAAGTTCTCTACTCAAATTCAATTTATGTTTGGAACCCCTGGGTGTGCACAGAACAATAGTATTCAGTATTATGTAGCATAACTATTTAAAATTCAAAATTATCCTTTATGCAGATAATTTGCTTTTGTATATTTCACAACTCCACGTATCCATTTCCATTTTGATGCAACTGATTAAATGTTTTTTGTAAACTGCAGTTATTCAATTAACTGCCCATATCTAAATTAATGCTTATTGGAGATAACAGTTAGTCAACTGGCAATTTCAGTGGTGTCTGGATTTTATTACTTCCTTGGGAATATTTATTCCTAGAGTCATATCACAAATGATCAAGCTAAATTACAGCAAGTTGTTAATGAAATATGGACAGATGTGTACCTTTAAAGTTAAGCTTATGTGGTAAAGTTAATACACTTAAGATACATTCCATAACACAATTTATGTGTTACATAAGATTTCTTTATATGACCTGAAAAATATGTTCAAAATGTGAATCATTCTTCATTATATTTTGCTGGGAATCCTCTCCACCATGAATATCCTTGAAAAAGATACAATTTCTATTTGGGAATGTAGATTTGGTTTTCCAGATCTTGCTTTATATTATCATATAACATATAAATGATTAAATTAAATTAAATTATCAGAACTATTTGCTGATCTATATTAAATTTTGGTCCTTCCCTCATAGATTCAATTTTTCTACCCAAGTTTTGGGATCCTCTTGTGTGGATCCTCTGTTCAAATGGATGACATTAAGCGCTTGGCATGTTTAAATGATTATAGCTTCTTCTAAAGTTAGAGTAGCTCATGAATGAGCCAGAAAATATCACATCCATTATATTTTAAATCATTCCCACGTGCTAAATTGACCTTATCCCAAAATCCAGATTTTAAAAGAATTTAAAAAGAGAATGTTCTTGTGGCAGACTCGGATGGACAAGCTGATTTTTACCTTGAATCAGTTAGTAGGGGAGAAGGATGACTTTTCTCATTTTCTGATTTGTGCACCAAATGTAATTTGCCTGCTGCAGTGGAAATGCTTACAATTGGCAACTTCTGGCTGATGCCTATTGTTAGTATGAGTTAACCGCCTGGCACCGTCGTTACTGGTTTTTCGGCGCCAGGTAAAGACCTTTTTATTTAAACATCATTTTAATTGTTAAAATATATGATCTGGCCAGGGCAACTTCTTCTTCCTTCTCTTTTCCCCTCCTATATTATTTATTTATTTTATACTGATAATTTTAATTTTATATTATGATGTTTGTGACTCAATGTATTTTTTGGTATTTTTGTATTTTATGGTAATTTATTATGTTCTATTGTATTTCAATGTATTTTATTGTGTTGTAAGCCGCCCCGAGGCTTCGGCAAGGGGTGGCATAGAAATGTTTAATCATCATCATCATCATCATCATCTTAATCAATAGTTATGTATCAACCACATTTCCTCAGCTGTTTTTCCTGATCTCAGGAGTGTGCCAAAATGGCAAGCAACAAAACCTCTGTCACCTTATTTTTTTTCCTCATGTGCAAACCTGTTTGCATTCATGGGGAGAATTGCCCCACAGCAGTCAAAGCTAGTGAAGGTTATGGATGCTCCTGGCTATAGAGGAGAAGTTAATTTGTGCAGAAAATAGGCAAACAAGCAGGTGGTCTCTTGAAAAGGACTCCCCAGGCTAGATTCTCCAGATGCCGGCACTAGTGCTTAGTATTCCAAAGTGAGGATGGTTTCTCAGCAGGCAGCTTTATTGAAACACCAGTTCTCGTGATGTTTGTGATGCGCTCTGGTTAGTAATGATTGGTTGAGGGTGCAGCCCTTTGGCGTCGCCCACTTGCTGTTACATTTGACCTCACTTTATACAAGTCTGTAAATGTGCTGATTCCAAGCTTTTTTCATCCACAGACTGGTATTTATGTAAGATTTATGTAAACACAGATTGGTATTCATGTAAATATATCTTTATTAATGAATTTCTAAGAGTGTCCTGGGGACAAAAGCTCAATCTCTAACAAGGAAAATAGCAGCAAACATCACCATCTATCTACAGCTGAGATATTTCTATCAAGAAGATCATTTGGTGTTTTTTTTTTTAATAATTTGATATATATCAGGGCATGTTTGTACTGTTTTTCATTTAGTTAAAAATAAACACAAGTGGTTTGTAAAATAAACTCATGATAAAATCCATCATTAAAACGATAAAAAATCTGGACATTCCTCCGAGTGCCAATCCCAAGGAAAGTGCAGAGGGTGGCAACTAGGAGGAGGACTTTCCTGGTGGTTGTCCCCTCTCCCTGGAATAACCTCCCCACTGTGGCCTGGCAAAATCTGTCATCTTTTCAGTGCCAGGTTAAGACAGCTCTCTTTTTTCTGAGTCTTTTAGGGACTTACTTGGCCACCCAGGGGCTTGAGGAGGATCTCCAGATGTTGCAGCGTTGCTCTTTATTATCTTTGGTGGACGCCACAGCTGGGACAGCCCTTGCCTGTTCCATCTCCGAATGAATCTCAGTGTGCTACAGCATGGCCAGCACGCCCTTCTCCACAGAAGGTAGAAACTGAGGCAGCCTCTACAGGAGAAAGTGAAATCTCAGATAACCTGGGTTTTATAAACCAGTAATAATATTTTGATAGCTCATAGACATGATACAAGATACACACACACACACACACACACACACACACACACACACCATTCTATATCTAACAAGATTCTTGGGCAGTGAATGAAAAAAGACAGAAAAATTAAAAATAAAGACTTGAAATAATTAAAACTAGGTTGTGCCAACAAAACTGTAGCTAGTCATTCAGGGAAAGCCTTTCAAAATAAAACTATCTTTAGCAGATGCCCAAAACAAAGCAAGATCAGAGCCTTCCTGACAACAGCTGGCAGGGATTTCCACAAAGGAAATCCAGTACACTCAAAGGTCCCAAGTAGATTCTAAACAGACCTCCAGCCCATGCAAAACCATCAGATGCGTCTCTTGACCATGCAGGTTAGCAAAGAGAAAAACACTTTCTCAAATATCCTGAGCTCCAGTTGTTTAGGGCTTTTAAACCAAGCCTGGAATAAGCCAGCCAGTGTAATTCCTTCACTAAAAAAGTAACATGCTGGAAGGAGGCAGCTTCTGTGCACTAGTTGCCCTAATTACCACCCTGCCCAGAACTGGTTGCTGTAAACTAGCAGTGAGGCTATTAACAGTTGTATCTCTGTGGCCAAGTCATTTCTGTCCAGAAGAAGCTGCAGCCAAAGTACTAGTCAAGGCTGTAAGTTCATCCACACATGGCTGTCTGTCTGTTAGCAAAGCAGGAGAGATGGAAGGCTGGATGGAATCGCTCTGTGCAGATAAGTGGTGCCATCCAGGCTGACATTGCCAGTTGTCTCATGGCTGTTGTGTCTGAGGTTTTAGCACTAGCACCGTATGTAAAATTCTTCTCGATATGCTACTGAATGATTGCATCATGTGATAACTTTGCAACTTCAGGGAATAAAATACCCAGAGAAGATCATCAGAGAATCAGCATCTATACAGCAATTATCAAAAACATACATGATGTCAATCAATCCAGCACAACCCATACAAATACAACAAACACAAAGTGACAGCCAATTTTTGTGGAGTCTAAAAACAGTCAACATATTGGTGGAAATCTGGCTCTTTTCATTGTGTTGCATACACACACACACACACACACACACACAAGCACACTTTTATTTTGCCCCATTATTGTCTCTGGAGTATTTATCAGGCTTTTCAAACAATACAAGAATTTGAAAATTTGATTACCAGGGGTGACAATAGTGCCACTGGCCTCCTCCCTCTTCCTCTTCCTCTTCCTCTTCCTCTTCCTCTTCCTCCTCCTCCTCCTCCTCTTCCTCCTCCTCCTCATCATCATTTGTTTCATTTCTATACTGCCCCATGGCCAAATCTTTCTAGGTGGTTTACAACAATGTCATCCTCTAATATTCAGAATTATGAAAAAGGAATCAGTTTTCGGCTTTGGTGACTGAAAGGAGATAGGGGACTACCCAGCAGCCAAAACATTTTGTTTTAGGTTACCCACAAGAATAATTTACTTCAAAGTCACTTGGGTTAGGTATTGAAAAACAATGGTCACTATGTTTAAAACAGAAAAGTTATAAAAGCACTGATGATAAAAATGCAAGCCAAGCACATGATTCACTGGGATGTCTCCTGCACATTCCCTGCTGAAATGAATGGGGCAGCCTAACAGTGCTCTCGCACAACTCACATTGATTTCAGTGGGCATCTGCGGGAAAATCCCTCAGTGGTTTGTGCCCCAAAGAGTTCCAGGGATAACTGATTATTCCTGTGCTGAGCACAAAATTGCTGGGAGGAGGGGCAGGAAGCATGGCAATTTTTGATACAGATTTCACACAGAGCAGTGGGGGAGCGTGGGTGGTAAGAGCAGCAGGGCAGATGTAGGTTTAGAGAAAATTGTATTGTAACCATGCACACAAAGGTGCTACTGAATATCTAGCCACAAACCTGCTGCTTTGCTCTGATATGAATGTATGATCTTTTCAAAACAGGAATGAGTGCATGAGTCCAGTGACTTAAGTCTTTTAAATAAATACCCCATCCATCATTTAAGACTAATTGACAACTCCACTTGTGAGCCAGGAGAGGAAACTAATAAACCTTTAGTTACTTTGCTATTGTTTTCCTAAAACAATTTGACTTCCTTTGAGATAGCAGCAAATTCCTTCATTAAAAATAGTGAGGCTGAGAACCAGAGGAAGTGCTTGGCTAGAGCCAAGTCACTGCTTACAATAAAGCCTTCTTGGGACCACATTTATATCCCAGTCCATGACAATGACTCTGTAGGAGTTGGACAGCTGCTGAGGCATGTCATATGGCACTTCGTAGCTGGGAGGTCCTACTACTCGCTCCTTTAGGGTTTTGGAAGTCTCTACCCAACCAGCTGATACCAGACTAGAGGACAGTGGAATTCTCCAACTTCCATCTGAGTTTTGTTTATCCCAGTTAAAGTGGCTTCTATCAGACAAGGATCCCTGCTGGATGCAAGCAGAGAAGGTATGTTCCTGCAAGTCTTAAAAACAAACCGAATGCTGAATGATTGTTAGCAGTCTTCTCATTTCATGTTTTTCACTCTGCCTTTGGAAAAATTGCTAGAAAGCATACCTAAAAATAGGATGGATTTTTTTGTTGTTGTCCTATAGTTAAAAGTTTATGAGTTACGAAATTTAAGTAAATTTTGTTGACTGATAGTGTAGTTCCCATCTTACTCTTGATGAGTTGTAAGGTTCATTTAAAAAATAAATAAATCACCTATTTTCCGAAGTTGCACTTTCAGCTTTGTCATAATGGGATAAACAAACTTCTCTGACTTGGCAGAAAGTCCTAGTATGTTCACTAGGGCTTACATTCAAGTGACTATGCAATGAATCACAGCCTTAAGTGAATGGACCCTAGCAAAAGATAGAACAGCAAAATGTACAATGGAAGTGAGGGATAGCAACTCTAAGTAATCAAAGCAATCGCTTTTACAAAGTTCACATCTAAATCTTTACTTTGGAAAAGATACTTTCTTTTGGCTTGCAGTTCTGACATTTTGTTATGCTGACATTTTATTCCGTGTGCTTCTCATTTTCTTCTAAATATACCCCTAAATGATCTTACCGCTTGCAGGATGGGAGACAGGATGTGTACCAAGTTATATATACTGAAAATATCATAAAGATGAGTCTGAAGTTCTGAGATTTAACACCAAAAAGTGGACTATAAAAAGGAACATTTTTTTCTTCTCTCTCAGAATCAAAGCTTTCAAATACATACAGTAAAAGAAAAGAAAAACTGCAGAAGCACAATCCTAGATAAAATTCAAAGCACTTAACAGCTTCTTAAGTATTGTGCAATTAAGTATCAGTGGATTGCTGTCTATGTGGACAATATTTGCTAGCTAGCTCACTTGCAGTATTAGGTGGTATTGAATAAGTTCTGATAACTGACAGAGAGAAGCAAACATCCACTGATATTCTCTAAAATGTAACTGTCTACATTTGACAATATCTGACAACTGAAACATAGTAGCAATCAATAGACAATGGCTTATACTACATTACCTGAAATAGAAGTTAGTGAATCTTATATCAACTAGAGTCATTTATCAAACCAGCCACCCTTATTCCCCTGAATGTTCAATAATGATGTCAAATTTCAGTTCTGAAATTCAGATGATACATTTGTGGTTAATTCAAAATTTTACAATTTTGAAAAGTTGTCAAATGTTGAAATTTTCTACAGCTTTGTGTCAGAATTATCCTGTGTAAAATTTCATTTACCTGTGAACCTGAAGAGCAACTCATCTATACTGTAGTTATTACTCTGGTAGCTAAAGAGCGCCATAAAGATCCATTTCCCCTACGCTGCGGCCAAATCATTGCACAAAAGAGTAAAGGATGACAGCTCCCACCCTCTCTTCCCAGCAGAAGGACCCCAAAGCAGTATTGGTCATGCCAGCTGAGGATTATGTGAGTTATAGTCCAACACAACTTCAGGATACAAGGTTGGGGAAGGGTGCTCTAATCAGTGACAGAGACAATGAAAAGAATCTGGTACCAATTAAAAAAGGCTCCAAAAAGGATGGAATTCTTTGTCAGGGATACAATTGAAATAATTGCCTTTCATAAGTTACAGGGAAGGTCTGCAGTACAGTTATGGAGCACACATTTTCCATGCAGAAGGCCCATAATTCAATCCCTGGTATCTCCAGGTAGGGCTATGAAAGTGTTCTACCTGAAATCCTAGAGATGCTGCCAGTTAGTTTCAACAATACTGGCTTAGATGGACCAACCATTTGACTTAATATCAGACTGTCTTCTTCATGTCTGTGTTTGGAAGTTTGAACAGGAATGAGCCACAATGACTGCAAATTTTCCTTCAGAGTCAGTGGCAAAGTTGTCAGGAACACCATTTTTTAAAGAAATAAGGTGTAATAGTTGAAGAAGGTGGTCAGAGAGAGCAACTGACCTAGCAGTGAGTAGAAAGACAGTAGAAGCATTTTTGGATTTTGGTAGCCATCGTCTCTGTGTTGTCTGAACCCAGCCATTCCAACTAGCCATAAATTTTAAACCACAAACAACCACAACAAGAACCCACAGTTTGTGGATTGTAAAATGTGGATTGTTCACCATGCTTTGTTATCTTGATTGGATTTAGAAAACACAATAGCCCACATTTCAGCAAAAACCCACAGTGCAGTGGCAACCATATTGAACCCATACTTAACTCCTGACTGGGCGCTATCATGTTGCTTGAACTCAGTCAAGAAAGGCAGAGTCTTTTGGGGACTTCCTTCTCTCTGGAGATCTGATGTGGGGGAGCAGAATTTGTTACAAGTTTTAAGAGATGTACATAAATGGCTGGTAACATTGCCAATTATATTTGGTTACTTAAGTCAAAGCATTGAGCAGTAAGAGAATGTGAATCACAAAAACTCACATTTTTAATCATTGCTCATCGGTTAACTGCTGTTTACTGCTGGAACCATCAGATTTTCTTTCTCAATTGATTAATCATATTTATATCCCACCTTTTTTCTTGCAAAGTATCCAAGGATGCTTGCATAATTCTCCTGTCTATTTTATCCTCACAAAAATCCTGTGAAGTAGGGTAGGATGAGAATCAATGACTGACCCAAAGTCAACCTGTGAGTGTCATGGCTGAGTGGAGACTCAAACCTGGATCTTCTGAGTTCCAAACAAACACTCTAACCATTATGCAACACTAGATCTCCCACTACAGCATACTAGCTTTCAGCCTCAGAATGTTTACATCTATCTTACAAAACTAATACTTAAATGTAAGTGCTGTTAAATCCATAACATAATCCATATTTCCTTCTTGCTTCTAAGCCTGGGCTGGTGTGGAGACAGAAAGAAATATGTGAACACATATAAGCCAGTCCTTTCAGAGTTATATTTACCTCTTAGCCCTGTTTGATTCAACAGCACATGTTCTCATTTCCTCCTCATGACACTCATCGCTTCTTTGGAATCACATGAACCCTGCAGCAGGCATTTCTTTTGTGGTGGGAAGATTAGCACAGACTAATCCTTCCCCTAATCTGCGTGGCCCACTAGATGCTGTTGGACTAGAACTCCTATTAGCCAAAGTCAACATAGCCAATGGTGAGGGATGACAGGAGATGAAGTTGAACAACATCTGGAGGTCCACATGTTCACCACCACTGCTGAAGGCTAGAGAGAGCCAACCCTTCAGATTTGGATAGTCTCACAACAATTGCAATGTAACAGTCTCCCATCTGATACGGTGATGCTGAGACTTGTCTGCCTTACAGTTATACTGAAAATTTTGAGAGAATGCATCAGAAACAAAAGCTTTGTCCATTAGGGAACGGTGTGAAAAGCAGTTATTCTATCTCGTATGGATACCACTGTTCCCCCAAAGGGTGGCTGGTTGCCACTGGGCAGGCGAGACAAAGGACAGGCTAGCTCGCCCTGGCAGTCTTGCCAGAGGATAGGAAGGGTTCGTGGGTGGCTCCTGTCAGCTGCATAATGTTCACTGGAGCAAATGTGAAGGAGTTGCGAAGGAATCTTGGTGCCCCAAGTGGGTCAGTCATTGCCCCAGTCACTCCACATACCAAATTGCCCCCCCCCCCCGCCACCATCTCTTCAGGGCAACATTGAAGGGCCCTCTTTTTATATTTCATTTGCCTTCAACAAGAGATTCCAGAGGCCTCTCTTGTAAATAAGGTAGCTGCATTTTTAAATATTCTGATCTCTGAAAAGTGTTTGATCCATTTTATAATTTTATATAGATTTCTATATCCATTATGCTATACAGCCTGAGTGACATATTCATCTCTCTCTTCCACCCCTCACCACTTTTTTTCTGCCAATGGTACACTGCTCCTCTTGCCTTTAGATCCTATGATCAGTTTCCACAGAAGCTTTTCTCATGAGCCTCCCCTAGACTTAGCTCTCTGTCCCATGCCCACTCTTCTTCACTCCTGACCCCTATCTGCTCTTAGCTCCCCTGTCAGCAAGAAGCTCTTCTACGGCTTTTCAGACTGAAGCCTCCCTGCCAATCTCCTCTTTTCCCAGGCTTTTTGATAGCTTTCTCCAGCCAGATTAAGAACATAAAGCACGCCCCGCTGGATAAGTCAATGGGTCCATCTGATGCGGCACTCTTTCAGGCAGTTGTCAAGCGACAGATCATGCATGCAAACGCACCCTCCCACCTGTGCCCCCTAGCAATAGGCATGCATTGACGTGATGCTTCTGATACTGAGGTTGCACATAGCCTTCATAAGCACTGATAGTTATGAAATCATGGACTAGAAGCCAATGGGAGACTTATCCTCCATGAACTGGCCTTTCCGTTCCCTCCTAAGAAAGCAAGCTGTGATTGCAGACTTCTTTCTAAAGTATTTAGAATGTTTATACACAGTCCGTGATATCACAGCAGCTTGGCCTATTGATGCCTGCCATAGGTCTCCACCTTGCCATCACTGAAAAATCCATTACACTTTTGGACATTCTTTCCAGCTGCAAAAATGACTAAACAAGGCTGACTAGTCGTCAAACTAAAATGCAGAATTCTGCAATGAATGCGTTCTTCTGGTTTTAGCTGCAAGGCAGACCCTGTACTACGAACAAGCAGAAAATGCCAAGTGCCTGACTTAGTCCAGAAACTTCACATGACTCAGCCAAAAAAGTGCCTAGAGTTGCTTCACACATGTGCTATTAAATATGTGCATTCCATTTCTCTACAGGTTGCTCTTTACACTGAGAAATCAAATCCGTATGCCCTAAATATTTGCACTTGAAAAAGACAGTCTCCTTGGGGCATCAATTGATTTCCTCATGTGCAGCAAAGAAGCAAATTGTATGTTATATATAAACGTGCGTAACAATGCCTTGGCGAAGATTGCTTCCCCGTAAGAAAAGTAATTTTGGAGGATGGAGAAGGTGCATAGCTCTTTTACCACATGCTCTTTTTCCAGTCTGCATTTGCCCTACAGTCTCTGCAATGGATCTGTTGACATGTGT